AACGCTCTATATACGCACTAATTATAGAATGCTCTATATACGCTCTATATATTAATTAATTTTTTTTTTACTTACGTTGAGGTAAAAAAAGTATATAATACTAATATTTATTATATTACATTTATTGCATCGATGATTTGCGACTTTTAAATAACACGCTATCTTATGACGTCTGGATAGTACAAGAGGAAAATTGTTGAGATAAAAAAGATATTGTGTATTAGTGTATATAGGTGTATGTGCGTATCGAAATGTGTGTATGAGGCACCTCTTTCGAAAGTTACTGCTCTACCTCGTTGAATCCCGGCGTTGGTTGGTGAAACGGGGCATCCCTATCGGGGACTATTCGCGACGTACCGACCGCGGCGACGTGCACGAGGTCTTGGCTTTCGGTACGGTGTTGTCTAAGCTCGTTTCTAGTCAACCTCCGGGAGCAGAGGCTCACATTGTGGACCCATTATGATTTAATAGAGCCGACGTGATGTACACACGCGCGCACACATAGGCACTTGGTAAACTCTTCCGTCTATTCCCGCGCATTGCTAATGGCATACATCAAACAGCTATGTCGCTAATAGCTGATGGGTAATTGCCGAAGTTTAATTTTTATACTCGTCGAATGGCCAGACCACGTCGCCATGCATTACGACCATGTTGTTAGATTCACGACCGTTTCGATCAAGCATTTTCCGAAAGATCATCAATAGATGCTGGATCAATAATGGACGAACGATTTCGAACTTAAAGTTTGTCTATATTTAACGTTGCATCTTTTCGTCTCAGTTGCATTCAATTTGTTCGCCCTAAGTAAGATGCTGTTATCATACGATGGATTTAAAAAGGAAAAAGAAAGAAAATTGCATTTCTGTTATTTGAAATAATCTTAAATAAATATCTGGCTATCTCATCTTGTGCACAGGAGAAGCAATGATATAAAATGACGTTTAATATAAATTTTCTTATCACGTCTGGTAATCTGTATGCCTAAATGACTACCCAAACTCGCGTATGTATATATCTTAACGTTGAAAAAAAATAACTTTGCACAACAAGAGAATGCTTAAAATACTTATAAAAAATGAGGACTTTTTATATATTTATAAAATAAAAAATCTAAAAAGTCATACAAATCGGTCATTCATCATTCGCGTCAAATCAAGTTGGCAGTTAAGTGATATCAAATTAGCTGAGCTTTCGTTTCGCAAAGCGACATTTGCCATGATTTGCAAGAAGTGTCTTCATAGCTATATTTGCATGCTCACAAACCTGCCGAGACAAAAGAAAATTTACATCTACGATAACAACATCATAAATACACCAAGTAATACATCGTGTGCATAAATTTCTTGGAAACTTCAATCTGCCGTTTGATACATGCAAATAAAACTTCGCAGAAGTACTCGATATCAATTTGCTAAGACGTTAAAAGCTATTGCTATAGAAGATGCATTTTATTCTTTATGTAACTTGTAGTTTACGCATAAATTAGATTTATTACAAGCTATATATTATTTTAAATCTTTATTTATATATAATCTTATATTATAATTATTTTTCGATTATTATGAAACAACAAACACATTTTGTCATTTCTAAAATTTCTATTTTTGATGTTTTTGTTAATATAGTTATTAACTATTATAATTATTATAACTATTATAATTATAAGTATTATTTAAATAAATGTAAAAATTAATACATATAGAATTTAAGTTTGTACTGTAAGATTTATGACACTTCGAAGAGCCTGACGTTGACCAGGTTTAAAATTGGCGAGACGCTTTCCATTGTTGAAAAAAATCCAAAATCCACTGTGATTTATAAATTCTCTATTTGCATGAGTCTTTTGCAAGATGTTTACGCAACCTGATTCGTGTATATCACTCGAAGGCTACCACCTTCTTGGACCGAGGTAAAATTGAAGAAACTCTTGAATCCACCAATGTGCTATTAATAATTAATTATATTATGCTAAATGCATTTTTATTTTGTATGTTAACATTTTATAGATTATATTTATAACAAAACAACAATTTATATTAAAAGATAATAAGAAATAAATGCTATTAATTTAAAGAACAGTGATAATTTTTATAAATTCTTTAATATACATAGTATTAAATTAATAAAATCTGATGAAAAATTAGATAAGATAACAACAATCTTTAGTGCATTACCTATCTTATGAGATATGCAATGGTACTTGAGAATTCCCTTCAATGCCACACGCTTTATCATTGATGCAACATACTGACATATCCACAATTTTTATTGCTTTTAACTTTCATAAAAATTAACATATTGTAACCATTTTTTTTTCAATCCAAACACTAGACATTAAGGAATACAATATATCAAGGAAATGTATTTACGTACACAGTAAAAAAGAAAATGTTAATTTTAACATTTTTTACATGTCCCAGGATATCCACTCTAAACTTTAAATTCAAGTAACTCATTCGTCTTGTGTTATTTATTAACGAACTAGTAATGTTAAATAATTGACACAACACTTTACATTTATATTTGTTATTTTGACTTTAGGGGTGATTTAAAACTAACATATAAAATAAGTAGAGTACATAGAAGAGTAGTTGCAGTGACTCGTAAGAAAATGTTAATAAAACATTTTTGTTCGTATAATGTGAATGAAAAAATTCTTAGATGTTAAATTGACTTTGAGATATATAGATTAATTGAAACAATTGTGTTAAAAACACTCAAAATAATATTCCATTTTTAATTGACATACGGAATTGTTAAGTTAGAAAGATGACATGAATCTAACACATCAAAATGTTATAAAAATAATAACATATCAGTTGTATGTTTATTTTACATTGAAGTAATAATCAAAATGTGATAACACAAGAAAAATTCTACATATGGACGCACGATTTTTTACTGTGTATCTTTATTAAAAGTTATAAGCAATAAAATAAACAAAAGTTTCGAAAAAGATTATAAAAAAAAGGAATATGCCATATCGAGAATGGCATTGAAGACTTAAATTAGATTAAGTAAGAATGATTACACTATTCTCGTCCAGATGTTACACATTGCCAATAATCTGCTAAATGTATATTTACACTCGAAGACACGTGTCGCTTGCATGATATCATAAATCAATTCTATTGCAATTTCTCTTTGTATCATATTCCATTGAAATGCACATGATAAGTTAATTTACAAAGTACAAGGTTACTTCACCAGCACATGGACAAATTTTGCTTTAAATGGCACAGCCCACTTGCGTTTGTAAATTACGCAGCATTCGTAGAATGACAGAAGGAACGCCGGATGAGCTGCATTAGTATCATTATTATTACAGCAGAGGTAATAGTCAAGTATTTTTCTCGAGTTGAGTTCTAGCCTTTACTTGCGATTAGTTCTTTATGTTACCTGTCTGCTCGTTTGTATCGTAGCAGGTTAACACGCATCTGGCAGTTTAAAAAAAAATATAATTTTTTTTTATTAAAAAAAGGATACAAAGTGTCAATTGTTATGTGACATATTGTGATCCGCGCGTGTTTTTTTTTTCAAAAGAAAAGAAAACCTCGAGGTGGATCAAGTATAATCGAAAATAAAAGCGGCACGATCCTTAAGCTTAGAAGTGGTGGAAGGTGAGTAAACCGATTGCTTCCGGTCATCTATATCACACGCATTTGTCCTTCTTTATCGGGCAACCTCGCTTCTAGTCTGATCGGACTGTACCTCAACTTAGAAGACGTTGATGAGGTCTATATGAAAGATGGGTCAGGGTCATGCACAATGCAACCGTGTACACACAACAGCAAAACTTCCCAAATACCAGGTCGAGGCACGAAGAAGTGATAATTTCAATTCTTTTTATAGATAATGTTGTTATACTAATGATTTGTATTGAGTATATATATGCATATATTTTTTATATTCCCAGTATTTGAAAATTTTAGATATTTGAAAGATGTCATCAGAAAAATGCAAATAAAATAAACAATAATTTATACAAATAAACTATCTCTCTTAAGATTGTAAAATAGTTATAAAAAATTATCAAGTATAAAATCTTCAGGTAATTTCTATAAAATTATATGCTTGCTATATAAAATAATCATAGCATTTTTCTCATACATGCATTTTTTCTTTAAATTAAATTACTTCAGACAATAAAAATCGATAGAGAATTTTTCATAAATTCTATATTGCACTTCGCTTTACTGTTACCAACAACGTAGCAACGAATCCTCATTCTCGTCAATGTTCAGAAAGACATTCTTAGTCGCCTTGCAAACCTCATTTTTCCTTATTTGCAACGGAATAAGGTAGAACGCTTAATCGTAATGCCGAAGCGCATCCTCTAATGGTGTTCCAAAGGATGCGATCAATAGGGACGACCTGACGTCACGGGAACGTCGCGGAATTCATTATACGGGCCAAGCCGCCCGCTTTAGTTGGGTGGGCTTAAAAATTAAAAGGCTCTCAAACAAAAACTCCCTTTTTACCTTCAGCCTCGTGGGATGTAATCCCTCCGTCCGGTAGTAGCCCGTATGCCCCGCCAAACCCCCGAATTTCGGTGGCTTGAAGACAAGCCCTGAGATTTTACTTCCACCTTCCACCGTCTCGACGCTCTTCCCCTCTCATTCTAAAGCTGAGGAGCGAGCACGGTCCAATTCACCGATTCACAATGTAGTTTTCCGAATAAACCCTTTCGTCTCGCGGTGCGTTTATATTCTGCTTGCGGAAGATTTGGTGAACAATAAAATAACGAAGGGTGAATAATCTTATCGGAACAACAAATCGTTCAATATTACTTGATCAAAAATTGTAGAAAAAATAAAAATAGTAATTAATGTATAAATAATTTTTCTAAAACCTTTATGTGTACCGAAAGGAAAATCCTAATAAAACTTTCGCCAATTCTTTGCTGACAAAAAATAAAAATTGAAAATTTGCGATGTTGGAACAGTACGCGATAAAGCGTGAGGGTAACGTGTTAACAAAAAGTAAACGTAATTTATTTACAACAAAATAAAAATGAGCATGATTTAAAAATAAAGGTTTAACAACAAAACTATAACAACGATAGCTCCCAGCTTTCGATCCCGAGAATCTAAAAGTTTTATCAATTAATTATTGCGTTATATTAAAATTATTTACACGATTTACGTCTCCTGTCGTTAATAGAATCATTGCACTGTCTACAAATCATCGGAGTGTTCGTCAGTCACAAAAGCCCCGGAATTTCAGGTACCTAGAGCAATTCCACGAATCTCATTGGATTGTTCACTATCGGACAGCAGCAAGCGTTATAGACGACTCTGTTCTGTCCTCTGATTTACATTTCCATTAACTTCCTTCTTCTTGTCTACATTATCAGTTGTGACATTTTCCTTCACGAACTCGCGTCTCTTGTCACTCTCCGCGGCGCCATACAAATCCAAATCTTTACCGAGATAACAAACTACACCGTCGAGTAATACTCCTATCATGGTAAATCCTGTAACAACACACTTCTTTACAATCAAGCTGACGAAATCAAATGATGAAACAATATTTGAATGAGTAATCAATAATATCATTTTGTCCATCGTTCAATCAAACCATTTTTATCATACTGCGATTTTTTTGTATTCTTTTTATCTAATCAGTCGATGAACAAACACATACAAGTAACATTCAGGTCGTTAAACTCGATGATACCCACCGGCCGACGAAACGTTCACAAAATATCGGAAGTTGTCTCGGTGATAGAACCAGCAGTTTCCTCTTGTCCCACAAGATTCCTCCCATATTAAACAAGTCGAATCGATAATAGCCCCATAGATAATCGGCCCCGGAATTAAAGCCAGCAACGAGATGATCATCAGCGTGATGCCTTGGGCGAAACTCTTGTCCTTTTTTTCGACACTCCTGTAATTCACCAGGACATTGCCGATTCTCCCGGAACAGCCCAGCGTATGAATCACGCAACTGAGCACCGTGAAGAGCAAATACGGCCGGCTACAGTCACTGCTGCATGGGCCAGCTTTGACCTTGTCGAAGATCGGCGGAAGTGCTTGCGAATCGAACTCATATATCTGCTGTTTCGAAATAAAACTGAATGACTGGTCTCTGGAGCTGAAATGATCCAAGTCACCTTCGATATAGCTTGATTCATTTATTGGCAGACAACTGCAGTTTCCGAACTGTTTGTCGTCCAGGATCGTTCGACATCCTGCGTGACAGGCAGAGAAGAAAGTTGTCTTCGACGCCTCGTGGCAGACTGGTGAATATTTGATGCCTACACAGTTGCAGTCAGTATTGCAATCAGCTGTTAAATTCATTCTGCGAACAGATAAAAATTGTACATTAGATTACGATATTAGTAATTAGACAAAATGCTAATTTATAATTGCTTTTCAAGACCGAAAAAAAATTTCGGCGCCTGGTTTACAGAATTAGATGTGTATGTAAATTCACACAGAAATACAGCACTAAAATCTGCTTCGACCGAAAAATAGGATTTCTCTTATTTAATTAGATTTATTCGCGTCGGTCTATTTTAAATTATAATTGTTTATGTTTTATTTATTAAAAGATCAAATTGTAAAAATACTCACTGCATAGTAGTCAAGTCTATACCGCGGATTCCAACATCTGTGCAACCAAGAAATATGAATGCTATTTGTCCTAGGACGAAGCAAATGCCGACGATTACGTTCCACGCGAGCAGCGGTCTGGGACCTGGCTTGAATTTGCTAATTATTAATCCCGATAACAAAAACCCTAATACCATACCAACTAACGATATGGGACCTGTAAATTAGAATAAAGCAACATTGTTACAAGTGTATAATTATTATTAAATGCTTCTAACGAAGAACACTTTTTGTCACAAAAATTTTATTTTATTTTTTAGCAGAAAAGTCACGTGAAAAAGTTAACGCTAGACATTACCTTGAGATAAATCTTAAAGACGTTCTTGATAGCAATTAAATATTATCGCATAAGATATTTCACAAGATAACTCATAAAATAATTAATATACATTTATGTGAATTAATATATGTACCTGCTATCACAGTACCGCCAGCCGTGGACGTACCGTATTGGACTTCAAGATACTTTGCTATGAACGTGATATAAGCAGAAGCGCCGAGAATATAAAATACACCGCTTAAATTGTTACAGGTCAACAGCCAGTTCGTTAACAACCGTTTCAAAGCTTTTGGAAATTCACGGATTGTCGGTATATACTCAGCTTCCAAGGGTCTTGGGTTGGCGGGTTCCATCTGTATCGGAGGCTTCTGCTCCAGCACTAAATCTAACTTCAAAGGTATTTCGCCATCCTAAAGTAAAATTTTCGTTAATTAATTTATAGGAACTTGCAATCCTCCGCGAGTTGTACATATATTTATCATTTTAATTTATAAAATGTTCTCTGATATTAAAAAAAAATTAATATCGATTAATTTTTCTAGATTTGTTATTGTTTTTATGTAGATAAATAAATATATATGTAAAATAATATAATAAAATATTAAGGGTTAAGAGCGCAACAGCAAGTTGATACATGCTAATTTATATAAATTGAAACATTAGCATATATTAATTTGCTGTTGCACTCTTAACCCTTGACATTTTATTATTTATCTTTATACATTTCAGCGATAACACTATATGAATTATTTTTAAAAAATAATATATTTTTACGACAAATAAAAATTGCTTTAATTCTATTTAATTATTAATTTATTATTTAAATTTAAGAACTAAAATATTGATTTGATAATGTATTATAAGTTTTTTTTTAAGGAAAATGGCCGTTAATGTTTTTTTATGCCATTTATTATAATAAAAAGATCTTAATTTTAACGATATTATAATATCAAATATGAATTACCTTCTTAGAAATATCTTTCGATTTGGGAAGATCACGTGGAAACATAGCAATCAAAACGGCGAACATACCCATCGTAGCGCCAAGAATGATCCAACCGAGCCACCATGCACCTAGCCATCGCGGATCTTTCTTCGTAATAACAGGAGTGAGCTTTGGGTCTACGTATAAACTCAGACAGCCAAAGCCCAATAGAAATCCGATCGCCGGACCCACGGTACGTAAAGCGAATGTAAAGCCTTACAGGTAAAATTAGAATTTATTGCTATTAAATTCTATTCCAATTCACGTCGATAATACAACAATTACTGTATCGTAATAAATTGTATCTTTTAAAAAATTTATCGTTAAAAACGTAATTATAAAAGCTCACAATAAACGCACAATATTTATAAAAATCAACTATCGAATATCAAATATTCCGTTCCAAGAATAACTAGACGTTTGGAGTAAACTTATCTTGAATCATTAAGATATAGCGTTACTTATCAGATTTGTTAAGAAAGACGATTAGTTATTACGCGTTGACAAGAAGCACTTTTACTTTTCATATATTTACAAGTAAAGATATATTTAGATTTTAATCGCGATATAATTTTTTCTAATTTAAAATCAGTCATAATAACACAGAATTTAGCAATTGATGCTCACCTAAGAGCATGGGTGTATTTTTCTTCTTCGTATTGTCGTCTAAATACGTTTGTCCTAAGCCGTAATAAAGAGTAGTTCCGATACCAAGGATAAATTGAGATAGAAAAACCAACAGTCGAGGAAGATAACTAACGGTCAATTTAGTTTCGGCGTCGCAGAGTTCCGGCTGGTCCATACGAGGACAGATCCCAAGATCTTTCGGGACAGTTGTCATGTTCAGTAAGGTCTGATCCAGATATTCCTTCGTCAATGCCAAGGCGTCCTTTCCAGGACCGTATATGAAGTGTGGTAGAGCCAAAACGAGACAGGACAGTGCGCTCAAGCTGACCCCAACCGCGATCCATTTTGGCCGATGACTGGATCCTCCGTAGTAGGTCAAGATCAGGGACAAAATCTGAGAGATCTCGTTACCCGAAAGAATCAATCCTATGGTAATAAGAACGTTATACAGACACGTGATATACTTATGTAGCCTTTCGATTACCTCTTCAAATTCTGTTCCTTTTAACAATTTTCTTCGATTCAATAGGATTGGATATAGTTACATAAAATTTCTTTGACACAAAATAAAATTTTTTAAAGTTTATGTTTAATCAACCTTCCGCAGACCATTTTGAATTTCACCACTTAGTCCGAACACTTAAATCCCTGAAGAACGGTTGTATATTTTTAAAGGATTTTTGGACTCTAAAAAAATCTGAAAAAATTCTGGTATACTCTTTCAACATTTAAGAATTATACAATTACATAATTAAAAACATTTTATATTTTTTTGTATGTGTTCGAATTTGAGGTAAAATCGGCAAAATAATTCAAAGTCGAAAATCGTGTATGTCTTCAAACCCTCATGTGGTCTACACAAAGTTATTTCTAGCTGTACGACTTGTAACAGACTTGTAACATCCAAGGAGAACGCTATTCAGATATTCAATTACCGTAGATACGTATCGATCGTTTGAAGTTAATGAAGCTACCGTTTAATTCAATGTACGTACATGAAAAATCATAATATCGCGGTACTATTAACATAAAATATATCCATTTATCTATTATAAAAAGCAATATGAGTGATAATCGAAGCTTTCTCTCTTTAGTGCCAAATAAATTTTACGTACATATAATAAATTTTATTACTTTGCCATTACATAAATGCATTGAAAACATATTAGGTGTTAAACTTAATTCCTGCCGTTTTTCGTCTCCAAAATTGATTTGTTTCGAAGGGAAATACCTTAATCAAAGTATTATTAATTAGTAATAAAGTGGAAAATAGAGGAAATTACTTTGATTAAGGTATTCATTCATCTTCCCTTCGAAACAAATCAATTTTGGAGACGAAAAACGGCAGGAATTAAGTTTAACACCTAATATTTCAGATTTTTAAAAGAAAGAGTTTTTATTAAATTAAGTAAAGAAATTAGTCACTATAATGGTTAACACAATAGCTTGCTCATTTCAGTTTATTGTGCATATTGCAAACAAAGGATTACCTTATCATTAAGCTTCAATAAAAATATTACTCACAGAATATTCTCTTACTCTTAATCCTTTGAATCCTGTCATGAAGAAATATTAGACTTGTATATATGTGTATACATATATGTATGTGTCAGAATGTTTTAAAAATAAAAAAGATGTACTTTGTTTATTAAACTAATTTAATAATAAAATCACGTCCCTTCCAGAATGAGGAAAACGCTTTTCTACGAAATGTGTTAATATTTCGGGTCTCGCCGCAGACTACAGAATTGTGTAATGTACGTCCGCGTGTCTTCGCTCTTTAATGCATATATAGCGCTCGTTGTACGACAGATTTGTCACTTCTATGATTGCGACACACTACTTACCTACTAGATAGACGCACACGGAAACGCGATTCGTACGTGTGCAAGTACGAGTACTTAAACGCGAGTATACCCGCGAATGCTCGACTGCTCGGCTTTGCCGGCAATGGGATCCGAGGTTGAAGGCGATTAAGACGAGATGACGTTCAAAGTTCTGCTGTGTCGAGATAAAGCGCGGTGTCTAGTATGAATAATTTACTTCATGTCTGAGTTTTTCTTTAAACAGTTATTTAAGCGCCACGCCGAGATTAGTTGATCACCATACAGAGTTCCGATCGCAAAGACGCGTAGATTCGTACCCGGTAAACGATGTGTACCTTCGTCAATAAAGTAATGCACAGTCGCCTCTCGTCGTGAAGTTTTATTATATGTGATTATACGGAAGTGAGACTCACCAGTCGTACGACTGGGAATCTTGAATCTCTTCTCCAGAGTCGTCAGGGTGACGATAATGTAGATGAAGGCCATTGCCTGGACGGTGCCCAGTAAACCGTATACCACGATAAAGGTCCTCGGGGTGGCTCGATTTCGCAACCATCTGGGATAAATCCCACATATTCCACAGTCTTTACTCATATCTCCAGTAGCCTCTAAAAAGATTGAGCGAAGTCTTTCCTTTTTTAAAATCTTAATTAAGTTACACTTATCTCATTAAGATCCATAAATTTTAAACATAAATATAGTGAACGTTATAAGTTATAAGACTAGTCATATAGTGTTGGTAAAGCTTCTGGTATATATATCTCATTTATATCTTTTTATATTTATTATCTTCATTTCTACTGATGTCTACTGATATCTTCAGATTTCAAGCTTGATACCATTCGATAAACAAGAGCCCTAACGTTACAAACGTGCAAAATTAATGCTAGCATAGAGATTTATTTGCGATAAAGAAAATGCGATAATTGATACACATTACAACGTTGACAATTAAATCGCGTCAAAATTCTTGACAGCTTTTATTTAAAACGATTTCTGTTTGCTTTGTCAGATCAGCTATATTTTGCATCTACTTCAGTAAGAGCGTTCCGGAGAATTAAGTTTTGCGATAAAAGCGTCGCGATAGAGGAAAGACGCTGATATTGACATATGTAGGTCTTTTAAAGAGACACCCCTTTATTTCTCGGAAACAAAACATTGCACTTTATTAATACCGATGAAAACATGATTTGTTAAATGATTAAAAAAGTAAAAACCCATAATTCATATATTTATACCTTATTTCTATATATAAATTAGCTAAAAACGAATTCCAAATTACGAAAATAAAATTCTTACAATTTTATTTTGTAAATTGCATAATTTAAATAATAGGTACATTATTGATAATATCATTGTGTATCTTTTAGTTTCCTAAATCTGCTTTATTTATAATTTTCTCGTTTTTATTTTTTATAGTACAATTTAAACATAAAATCGGAGTAGCGTAAACTAGTCTGTAAGACAGGTATCAAATTGTATACCATAAACCATAAACTCACCTAATCTTTATGTAGTGTTGCATTATTATGTTAAATAGCCATATTGAGATTGAAGGCATTCTTGTATTTAAAAAATCTTTCAAAAAAAGACTGTTAACACACTTGCGACTTATAGAACATACATCGAAGTAAAACATTCTAGAAATTTTCATAACATTCATTTGTGTTTTACACAGATGACACTATGAAAGGAAAAACAGGAATGTGTGGCATTACTGCCTACTGTGTCGATTTTTAAGACCCATTTTGTCATTCATGCTCATTTTTGCCTATAACGCTTTTTGCTCGTCTCACAAAAAAAGTTAATTATTGCAAAATTGCAAACAGCATTAGAAAAGTGTTACATCATCTGACAGAAAACATTTTCTATCGTATTTATGCTCCTAAAGTCATATTATTAACTTTACTAAGAAACGTAGCCCAAAAACAAAGTGCTTTGATAATATCACTGAACTTCTTATATTAATTAAATCAATGCGATATGTGAAATGCAATGCTTAAGCGGAAAAATAACACGTCGTTATTATGATAGTGAGAACCGACTTGTGACGGTGACTTGCATTCTTGATCACGTACGGTATAGACAACGTTATAAACATATCATCAAGTATAATATGTAGCGTATAAAAAAAGAAATTACGTGGCAAACGCTTGCGATATTATTATTATTATTTTTTGAGTTGAGGCTGATGACTACGGGTGCATTTAATTTTTAGTATTCCTGTATAAGTTGCAGCGTGAGAATTTGATGAACATGAGACACGTGCGTGCAATGCAGAATAATAAAGGATAATAAAGCCGTTATCTTTCATCATGAGTCGCGTAATTATTAATACGTTAATGCAGATAATAAATCTCGCACTCTTCGCAGATACCTCAGCATACTGTAACGACAGTAACAATGACTTTTCCATGTATGCAAATGGATCCGTTACGCAACACACTTTTCGAAACAGAAGACACCGACCTAATCTCGCGCCTGTTTACAACGCGAGTATTCGTAAACCATAAGCGAGTGAAACGATAAACGATAATGCATATAGCGAAATTTAAAACTTACCCTATTTATTGCAATTATAATTTTACTTATTAACACAGTAATGCATAATATTATTAAAATAGTAAATATGCTGTACTGTGTCTTCATAAACTACAGTCTGTATTCACACTTCATTTATAGACAAATTCGGGTGTTAGAGGAGCATAGTTTACATATATTACAGAACTTCAGAACTAAACGTATTTACTAATAAAAGTGATGTATGAATACAGACATAGATATATAATATAATTACTATCAATTACTTGGAACTCCAAATTTAATAAATTTAATAAATAAATTTAGATATAATTGCACATTAAATATTTGTTGACTTGATTAAAAAAATCAAAGAAGGGAAATTAGAAAACTTTTTGTGTTTGTAATTACGCAGATTTGACATGCACAATAAACAACAATCTAATCTACAAATCCAATTAAATTTATCACACAAATAAATCATTCAAATAAATCTGCGGAATTTCCTCTGACAAAGTTCTTTGTCAAAATTTGTCAATAAAATACTCATCACATTGATTTTTATTTTTAATTAAAATATAATGAAACAAACATTTTATAAAACTTTTTATATTTGCTTCTCAAATTCGGAACAAAGATAAGGTCTCAAAAAATTTACTTGTTACTCTTACATTTTGTCAAGAAAGTCAAAATACACGAAATTTGCGAGTCTATTTGTACGCTACTTTTTTCATAAACTCAATTTATAAAATATTTTATTAATATTTTATGCTACATGTTTAAAAAATATTTGGTTATAAATTTTACTATATAAAGGGCTACATAATTATTTTGTTAATGCATATAACTTTCTTATGTAACTTTTATTCTATTATTCATCAGTTGAGATCTATTCTAAAGAAATATTATTCTCGGTTTTTGTTTACATGAAGTCAACTTACATAATTCCAATTTATCTTAAGCATCTGTCTTACAGCGGAGACATTACGAAATCTTAAGCGATTAGCGCTTCCGTTTTGCCACTTATAAATTTTTCTTGTCAAAAAATATGTTAGAGCAGGTCACATATTTATATTGAATCCTGAGGTTAATTTATTAAATAAATAAAGATTTATTTATTTATAAAAAAAAATCAAATTTAAATTATTTAGTTAAATAATTTTATATTAAAGATATTATTGGCGCTGCGCATCGTCGAGTCATTGATATTTAAAAAATTATTTTTGACTTTTTTATTTAAATGTATATTATCTCAATTATATATATATATATATATATATATATATATAATATAAATACTTTTAGAAACAAATAAAAATTTTTTTAAATGATAGCGTTATTAATAATCTCTCTAAATAGAATTATATATAAAATAAATTTAAATTTTAAATCTCTCTCTCTCTCTCTCTCTTTCTCTCTTCTCGAACACTTTTCAAATTAACTTTCAATTTCTGCAGCAAATATTAAAAACACTTGTAAGATAGTATAAAAATACTTTTCTGACATCGATGAGAAGAAAGATACGAATTGATGATGATTTCTCACCTTGACCTTAGACTCGTGGACTCAGAAGGGACTTCCGGGCCGCGATTCCTACTGGATCGCGATCCTCGAGTCTCGTCTGCCGGGTAACTAGGAAATCACCACGCGCTGCGAGCGCTCTAGTTAGCACGGATAAACGCGGGATAACTGAGCTTATTCGTATGTCAATGGCAATGCTCCCCTACTATTTCTCTGTCAAATCGAATGATAAGCGGAACGTCATTCAAAGGATATCACCAACGAGACACCGGTGCTGACATCTTATTATTGGCACCCAAGCGATTCAATGCGTCTGCGACCGTAAGATAGCAAGTGCATCTCCTGGTTGTGGTCTATGCTGAAGTGCATAACGAGACGAACAACTGTTGTCTGTCTTCTCCGATCGAATAGCATTCGGTCTGTGACAGAGATGTGATAGAAATTTATGCGTTATAAAAATAGTGTGATTAATATTAATATCATCAATTGGAATAATTGCATATGTAAGGATTGATGTTTATCGCGGGTTGCGTAGAAATTTCCTTTCGTAAAATTCACTGATGCTTGATGATTTGCAGTCATCGAAATGATCTCGTGTTTCAACAATTTTATTTCTTTGATTTTTAAAAAGTGGCCGCTAGTATAAAGTTATTTAGAATTAAATTTTATTTGGAACACACGTCATCATTTTATTAATAATTCAATTCCCATGAAAGTGAGAGAGAGAGAGAGAGAGAGAATAGGATAATTTATATTAATTCAATTTGATTATCTCTGCAGATAAACATTAAATTCATTATCTGAAATCCAGAGAGTATCCAAAACGAAATATATATCTAAAAAATAAAAATATTAGGATAAAATTTATTGCATTAATATCAGTCCTCAGCAGAACAAGTCAAAATGACATTAAAATAAATTGATAAACTGATTGAAATGTGATTTATTGTTATTGTTACGATTATTTTGGAAACATTTTGTGTCGCATGATAATTTGTATTCTGTTTGGGTTCAATCAATTTAACGTGTAAAAAAATAACAGATCAGAGAGAAATCTGAGAGAAGACGAAGGCTTTTTTCCTGTAAAATGTCCCTGTGCACTACTGTCCTCTGAAGAAGGGGATGTAAACTACACAACAATATCCATTTCTTGCGATGCTCCTGATAGAAATAAATCGCTGAAATCGTTGAAATCTCTATTAATTTGATAGATTAATTTATTTCAGCGATTTCAGCGATTTACTTTTATAGCACCTATTTTATTTCCATAAGGAGCATATACAATTCGTTATAAATATATAACTTTACAAATACTTTCTAAAGATATCAAAATATACGTAAAAATCACTTAATAATTTTTATATATTTTAAAAATGATGAAAATTAATCCAGGGTATCAATTATGAAACTTTATCCCTAGGATGGAAAGTGAAAAGTGAAAATTTTAACCATTAAAGTTAGGCTGTGGTTAAAGTCTCGCTACAAATGCTTTGAAGCGTTTGATGGACTAATTAGAATAAAGAATTTTACAAACTGACCAATTAAAAGACGCTTCAAAACATTTTTAGCATCGTGTTAACCGTGCTCTTTATGGAGAAATTTTTCACTTTTCACTTTTCATCCTAGGAAAAAAGTTTCATGATTGATACCCAGAACACAAATGACTCAACGTGTATAGTAAGGATACTCAAAACTAAGGTGTGTGTTTCTACTAAAAAAGGATTAAAAATAAAGTTATTTAAAGTATATATTTTAAATTAAAAATGTAAAAGAATTATATAATATTTATTATTTTAAATAATTATACTTCTGAGAACTTATTTCTTATTTAGTGTTTTAAATAAATTTTCCAAATCTATTTTATATTTTTTATTTTAAATAAGTGTGTCGTATCAGTTTTTTACCGATTCCTACGATTTTATACTTTAAATAGGTTTCTGAAACTTATTATATATTTTTTATATTAAATAAATCGTATTAATATATATAGTTACATTTTACGGAGCCATAATCGGCATTATACATGTGTTTAAAGAATTTTTGAAATATAGAATAATTTGCAGCAATAGTAGCGTTATAAATTAATTTTTTAGTTGCAAAATTAAATAATGATTAACAAGATATTTAAAACTTTTAACCAAAGCTATATTGATCGCAAATTGTTTCGCAATATTAAGAAAAACTCCATGTATCTTTATAAAGAATATATAGAGAATTATAGAATATTATCAACTTTTGTTTAAGTATAAATCATTTAAAAATATAATGAAAATTGAGACATAATGTATCGTTGGAACATCAAAAATATCTCAGACACGCAAATAATTATCAATTACGTTTAAAGGATTAAGCTAGTTAATGCTACAAATCAAATGCGGAATGTACAACGATACCTATTTGTTAAAATCATGTAAAATATGAATAATTGAATAAACCGTGAATATTTTTCATACGCAATAATTGGGTATCTAAACGGCGCTCGACGAACAGCGAGGAGTGGGGGAAGGCACGCTCCCCCTCGCTTTTCGTCGCGCGGCGCGGCGCGGTGGTTGACTACGTCATCACTTCGGCATTCGCTCGGTGATTTCGGCGGCGGACGGACGTGCTGCACGAGTCGCTCTGGATATCGCATTAATCCACGACAAACGATTGAAATGATATATCTACGAACGCTAATTGATAAATCAAGTAGTAAGGTTGCTCAAAAGTAACTCTTTTATCTTTTTTATTAAAAATATATATTTTAAATACGACCGAGCCCCGTATATCAATATATATTAATAATTTAACTTTATATTATGTGAAATAAACTCCGATTAGTATTTCGTCAGTTATAGCGTTTTTCATTGGCAGAACTAATGCGCATTAAGTGCACTTTAAAGCCGTTGTACAAAAATCGACGTAAAGATATACGTTTAATAAAAATATATAAACGAATTAAACCGTGAAATATTCGATACATTTTATTGCGCTATCTGATAAAATAAATTTTGGGCATTTTATCAATTGAGATATCTCACTTTTATATTTAGATTAGAATAGTGTTCAAAAGCTTTAATGTGCACTGAGTGCGCACTAGTTTTGCCAATGAAAAACGCTTTTAGATGATCGGCGCGCGATCTTTGAGATTGTTTTGATGCGAAAGGGCGGGCGGCGCGTCACGTTTATGCGAAGTTCCCGCGCAGTCATTCCATTACCGAGAATTGTACAAGCAGGTAATCGTGTCGCGTGCCGCTCTTCTTCACATTTCTTTTTCAAAACATAATTGCGACAAATGCTAGATAATACGAAACATACTTTATGAATACTCACAATATATGATTACTAGCTCGCACGATTAATTATTCATAAAAGAATCGAGATGACAATCATATATCAGAGAACACACATTTCGTACAGTTCATTCATTTGAAATCAAAACGCGAAAAAACAGAATTTATTACTATTTCGCGATAATTACGGACAATTATTTTTGTTAAATATAACATTTTTGTCTCTCTTGAGTATAACTCTCGATTATTCTTTGAACGGTACCTATCACACGAGTCATAAAAAAACTACCTTAATACTCTCATACAAATAATGCAATTTATGCGATTCCTATTTTCACAATTAATATAATTTGGTAATTAATAATTAAATTAATTTTTGTTTTCTTCTCTGCATTTTTCGTGATATGATAAAAAATTGAATGTAATTTTGAAACTGTTTGTCGGTAATAAAAGCAATATTCCTTTTTTTATTAATCTCTAGCCCATTCCATTGACTCTAATTACTTATATCTTATAGACATCGTAATAAGAGATTCAGCCCTTTTAGTATAGTAATATAAATAACAGCTATAGATTATATTTTTTAGGTGATATTTTTCCTCCCACGGGTACACCTTGACGTGGTAACAGGGCTCAGTACCCGGAGAATATATACGAAAAGAACGGTTTTTCTCAAGTATCTAAAAATTTTCGGATGCATATTCTGAATGTATATGTAGATAAATTTTTAGATATTGAGTAAAATCGTTCTCTTTGTATAAAAATTCAACGGAGAAGCTAACGTACCCTCGTCGCCGATTAACTTGAAAATGAACGAACCGCAGTCGGTTTGTCGCGTCGCGCGTTTGCTTCGGGAGTGCCGTTCAAGTTGTCGGACTCAAGTTACAGTCCGCGCGCGATTATAGTGTATTATTCGCGAGTGTTTTACGCGAGTGTCCTGTGCGAGAGGATGTCAACCCAATTCTGAGAGGAGGAGGTCTGGGAGAAGCATCGGGCACCGGCGGAGCAACCTTGCGGTAAATATCATTTTTTGCTTATGTGACATTAGAACCTTTCTTCTGTTTAATCTTGAGTCGTTTTATTTTAATGATTTAAAAATGATAATTTAAAAAAAGGATTATTTTAAAATTATTTTGAAATTTTGTGCATATGTATTTTTAAGAAAATGTATAATTATTTTTATAAATATAACTGATTGGTGAATTAAAAAATTCGATGCTTATAGAAATTATATATTTTAAAAGTTATATGATTATTTTCAGGGAAAACGGAATAATTCCGATTGACATCCACATTTTAAACAGTTTCATAATAATCTCTCTAATCTTTTTAATTTTTATATTATGATTCGGACGTTGCTTTTTCAAATCGATGTGAACATGACTCGCTTAGCAACGTAAAGTAATACGTGAATCATTGGATCCCTCGATTTATGTAACGAAAACTGGAAAACTACAACGAATCAATACCTCGATTAATAATTCTTGCTTTGCAAAAATTATCGTGAATACGACGATTGCGTATTTTATTTCGAATTCGTATTTTTGAACTTTTCGAATTTGCCGAATTAGACAAACCGACTTGCGCGGTGGGGGTGAGCGACGAAAGTGATCGAGGTGACGTCACGATTCAAAGTCATTAGTAAAATGTCGTCGCAGACGCGGAGCGGATCGACTGCGCGGATCGGCCGGGATGCTTTTCCATTCGTAATATCGTCATAATCGCCGTTGTTTTCCAGTGCTCGTCGATCGCATGACACGATTCTGATATCAGTGATTTCGCAAGACGCGTACAACGAGAGATTTCTTCGATCGAAACTCAGGTATAAATAATATTTAATGCAAGCGAATGACGAGACGCGGGCTGTGTGCGTTATA